GGCTTCAAGGGAAACATAAGTAATCCTGAGCAGAGTTTAGAGGGATGGATGGCATGTTGCCTCCACTAACAGAGACACAGGGGCAAGGGAGTGGTTAAATTCTCAGGAAAACCTCAAAGGTGCCTAGGTAGTACAGGTAGCTCAACTGGGGTGCTCCCACTCCACTCACTCCACCGACCAAATTTAGGGAACACCCAGGGCCATTTATCCTTACTTTGTTCTAACAGCAGGAGAAATAAAAATAACAAAGGTCAAGACAATCTCCATAGCTTCAGGAAAGAGCACAGGCACACTAGACAGTGACCTGACTCTCAGTAAACTTTTTCCCACTGGAACTGCATTAAAGGTTCATAAATATGGACAGAATCTCATGTACATAATTTAATCAAGGCAAACTCTGGGACACATTTGCAAGTTATGGTGCCCCTGAGATGACTCAGCATCCTATCAGTCAATGCTGTCAGTCTTATCCAGAAAACCAACAAGAGACCCCTGGATTGGAGTGCACATTCTTTAAATTTCAAAAGTCTGAGTTATCTGTATGCCTTTTACTTTCCCATAACCCTGATACCACTTTTCTCTTCATGCCACCTGACCGCACCTTCCTGTTATCTTCAATAAATGTAGGTACTTTTTCTTTTACCAGTGGATGTACACTTACAATTCTTTGCTTTATACACAGAAGAGTCTTGAATAGATCTGTTAAATCTACCACCCGGCATCATAGAAACCTAGGAACAAAAAAGTTTGTGGAATTCTGACAGGTGAAGATTTGAAAAGTGATAAAAACACAATCACACTCACAAAAATGCAGTCGGAAGTTGTTTTATTGCTGTGAATGCAGTGCAGTGAGGCTTAGTAAAAGACGTAAGGGCCTAGAAATTATTCCCCTTCTCCTTACTGGCCTTGCCTCAACACAGACAGATCTCCAAAGCATAAAAGAATAATTTTTATATATATTCAATCCCAAGTTTGGTACAGTATCTTAGGTACTCTAATTCTCCCAATATCTCCCCTCTTAATTTCCTGGAAACAAGAAAATTAAAACAGAAGTTGACAAAAGAAAAAGAGAAGGCAAAGAAAAGAAGAAGCAGAAGAAACTGTAATAGAAACTGCCAAAATAGAGAAAAAATGATCAAAACTTTAGAGGATCTAATCTAAGTGTACAGGAAGCAGCGGACACAGAGGGTCACCCACCGAACGTGGTGAACAGGCCACAACGTAGTTTCTGACCATAGTCCTAGTCCTGTACTGGCAGTTAGGAGGCACACCCCGTCCAGTGAACCGGCAGACAGTCATGTTCACAGTATGGGAACTTTGGTGGCAGTTGTTCCCATCATTCCTGCAGCGCATGGTGGGCCGAGTACAGACACCAATCACATTTTGGAGAGAGTCATGCAGAAAGGTGTTTATTTTCTTACAGGTTGGGAGATGTTGGTTGATAGCAATCATTGCCTGGTTGCATGGGACAGTATTTGGATGGACGTGCTGAAACTTGAACCACCGAAATTTGGTGAAGCCTGGAGGCACAGCCCAAAGAGGAAGCAGTAGCCCAAACAGCCCCAGCAGCAACAGGAGAGGAAATCTCACACCTCGCACCATCTTTTCTGTGTAGGAAAAGTGAAAATAACGGTAATAGTAGAAGCAGTAAAACAAAATTATCAATCTAAACTCTTTATATTCTTGTTTTGCCTTTAAAGACTTCATGACTCTTTAAAACTCTCTCTAACATAGACTCAGAATTCCAGGGAAAACCATCTAAGGAGAGCAGACCTCTCCTGTGATTGGCATATCCCACCACCCTGTTTGACCTGTACTGCTGTATTCAATAATCCTCCCATCAGAAACCTGGGCTCTTTACCTCTTCCCCTGAGATGGTGATCATCTCTGACCACCTCCTCCCTGCCATTTTCATTGCCCTCTCCATCCAAGCCCAAAGTTCTCTCCTCTTACCAAGTGTTTGTGCTGGGTACTT